GGTGGGCGTGTCCCGGGTGGGCGTGGCTCAGCGGATAAACCATTCCGGTGCCCGGATTGCGGCAAGAGCTTCACGCGCAGCTCCAACCGCAACGCTCACCTGCGGCTGCACACCTGGCCCCGCCCACGCGACCTCCCCTGCGGCCACGCCCACCCGGGACACGCCCACGCCTGCGGACGCGCCCACTCAGGCCACGCCCCCTCCTGCGGTCACTCCCGGGGGTCCGGCCCGGTCAAGCGGCCGCGCTCCGGACGGCGCCGCTGCTGCGGGGGGGCGGAGGTGGGCGGGGCTTACCTGGGCGGGGCTCAGGTGGGCGGGGCTTACCTGGGCGGGGCTCACCTGGGGAATTCAGATCCTCCCGCTCACCTGGGCGGGGCTCAGATGGGCGGGGCTCACCTGGATAGTTCAGACCCCCCCTCTCCCCTGGGCGTGGCCGCGGTGGGCGTGGCCCCCCTCACCTGCTCCGAGTGCGGCCGCACCTTCAGCTACGGCTCCGCCTTCCTCAAGCACCGCCACGCCCACCTGGAGGAGGAGGAGGGGGAGGGGCATTCAGGGAGGGGGAGGGGCGGGAGGAAGGCCCCGCGCTGCCGGGGGGGCCGCGCCCCTCGCCCCGCCCACACCTGGCGGCGCGGGGGGGCGGGGCCTGGCCGGGGCCACGCCCCCGGGGCTCACCTGAGGGGCCACGCCCGGCCCCACGCCTGCGGGGAGTGCGGGCAGAGGTTCGGGGGGAGCTCCGCCCTCGTCCGGCACCAGCGGCTGCACCTGGGCTAGGACCGGAACCGGAAATGGACCGGAACCGGAAATGGACCGGAACCGGAAATGGACCGGGACCGGAACGGAACCAGAACTGGAACAGAACTGGGACTGGAACCAGACCCGGAACCGGAACTGAACTGCAACTGAACCGGAACCATGAGATGGAACCAGGACCTTACCGGAACCGGAACCAGAACTGAACTGGAACCGGAACCGGAACTGAACCAGAACGGAACTGGAACGGAACCGGAACCAGAACTGAACTGAAACCGGAACCAGAACTGAACCAGAACCGGAACTGCTGAACCAGGACCGGAACCAGCGCCTGGACCTGGGACAGACTGGACCAAACCGGGACCGGAACCGAACCAGAACCAACACCTGAGCCTGGGGTAGCAGGACCGGAACCGGGAACTGGAACCGGAACCAGAACTGGGAACTAGAACTGGAACTGAACAGGAACCACGAGATGGAACAGGGAGCTTTCCGGAACCGGAACTGGGAACCAGAACTGAACCGGAACCGAACCAGGACTGAACAGGAACCACGAGATGGAACCGGGACCTTTCCAGAACCGGAACTGAACCAGAACCAGAACTGAACCGGAACCAAACTGGGACTGAACAGGGACGGAACCGGAACCGGAACTGAACCAGAACTGAACCAGAACCATGAGATGGAACTGGGACCTTTCCGGAACCGGAACCGGAACTGAACCAGAACGGAACCGGAACTGAACCGGAACCATGAGATGGAACTGGGACCTTTCCAGAACCGGAACCGGAACTGAACTGGAATGGAACTGGAACTGAACCGGAACCGGAACTGAACTGGAATGGAACTGGAACTTAACCGGAACCATGAGATGGATCCGGGACCTTACCGGAACCGGAACTGGACTGGAACCGGAACCGGAACTGAACCAGAACGGAACTGGAACTGAACCGGAACCATGAGATGGAACCGGGACCTTTCCAGAACCGGAACCGGAACTGAACCGGAACTGAACCGGAACCGGAACTGAACCAGAACTGGAACCGGAACTGAACCGGAACCATGAGATGGAACCAGGACCTTTCCGGAACCGGAACCGGAACTCGAGGGGACATTCCCAGGGTGGGGGAGGGGCTTTGGGGACCCCCCGGGGATTTCGGGGTTCTTTTAACGGGGAAGGGGGAGGGGTGACCCCGAAATGTCCCTGGGGGCGGAGCCGGTGCTGGCCCCGCCCCTCCCCCACAGAAGGATTGTCCGCGTCCCCTCCCCCACCCCCAAAAAAACCTTAAAAACGACAAAAAATCCCCAAAATTTCGGGTTCGGGGCTCAGGGGGGGCTCAAACCCCATTTTTGGGGGGTGGGGGAGGGGATTTTGAATCATGGGGGTAGGGGGGGTGACCCCAAAGGGGGGCTGGGCTGAATTTGGGGTGGGGTCTCGCACACCAAACCCGCCCCTCCCCCTTTTTTCCCTTTTTCCTCCTTTTTTCCCCCTTTTTATTTTCCTTTTTTCCCTCTTTTTTTCCCGTTTTCCTTTTTTCTCCTTTCTTCCCTTTTTGATTTTTTTTCCTCTTTTTTCCCCTTTTTTCCCCCTTTTTTTTTCCCCGTTTCTCCTTTTTTTTCCCCTTTTTCCCCCCCATTTTCCCTTTTATTTTCTCCTTTTTTTCCCCCATTTCTTTTCCCCTTTTTTCCCCTTTTCCCCCTTTTATTTTCTCCTTTCTTTTTCCCCTTTTCCCCCTTTTTTTCCTTTTTCATCCTATTTTTCCCCTTTTTTTCCTTTGCTTTTTTCCCTTTTTTTCCTTTTTTTTTTCCTTTTTGTTCCCTTTTTTCCCCTTTTTTCTCCTTTTTTTCCCTTGTTTTTTTTTCCTTTTTTTCCCATTTTTTTTTTCCTTTTCCCCCCTTTTTCCTCCTTTCTCCCCCTTTTTTTCCCCTTTTATTTTCTCCTTTCTTTTTTCCCCTTTCCCCCCTTTTTTTCCTTTTTTCCCCCTTTTTTTTCCCTTGTTTTTTTTTCATTTTTCCCATTTTCTTTTTACTTTTTCTCCCCCTTTTTTCCCTTGTTTTTTTTTCCTTTTTTCCCCTGTTTTTTCCCCCCCTTTTTTCCCCCTTTTTCCCCTTGCTTTTCTTCCTTTATTCCCTTGGGGTTTTTTTTCCTTTTTTCCCCCTTTTTTCCCTTTTTTTCCCCCCCTTTTTCCCCCCTTCCCTCCCCTCCCCCTTTTTTTCCTCATTTCCCCGTTTTTTCCCCCCATTTCCCTCCCCCCCCCCCCCCCCCGGGGGGGGGGTGGGATTGAACTTCCGGGT